CACCCACCCACCCACCCCCACCCACCTGCGATGTAAAAAACTTTCCCGAACCATGCCTCCAAAAGCTACAGCTCAGGAAGGTTATGGGTTCAGAGATTCAAGGCTTAAGGCCTGGGGTCCAAGGGTTTACGCCAACGTCAGCAGGAGATTTCCCAGAGGCTCTTGCTCCCGACATCCCGGCTAAGAACATGATCCCCAAAACCCGAAAATGAAAAGTGTCGAAACTAAATCGCCGTCACACATGAGACCGACATTAGCGCTCCAACCCCTCCTCCCCCCCCGCCCCAATTAGCCTTCAAAGATCGATGGTTTACAGCGCCTACAGCAGTAGGGTTTAGCCGGTTTAGTGTTTCGGGCTATCTCCGGTTAAGGGTTCTAGCTTCAGAGTGCCTTCCAGCAGGATAGGTATATTCTTACTGGTTTGCACTGGGGTATTTGTCCGAGAAGGAACCTAGCACCAGAGGGAATCCTTCGTCCAGGCTCCAGGCTTCTCATGCATTGAAAGCATGTCATTTTGCATTGCCAAACGAGAAATCATGTCCGTGAGTCTGACTCATGTCGGGCTGTCGATTGCTGTCCCACTTAAACTAGGCTTCTGAAAGGGGTGTGCCGCAAGAGCAAAGAGCACAAAGACTTTTGCCTTAGTTGCTTTCTGAAGATAGCGTTTAAAGCCTTGCGCTGTAAGAGCTGCTTCATGTTCGACGAATGCACGGTCCAGCACTGACATGGACACGCCAAGAACCAGTAGATGTATCTCAGATGCCCAGCCACAAGAAGAAGCAATGGCATTCAATTTGGTGTGGGTCGTGTTTTGTGCAGTAAAAGCGGTGTACAATCTGTCGCATGCACTAGTATCGGCATGACGGTGGCGTTGCATGTTGTGGACGACGAGACGCGCATTCGATACCATGTCGAGCTACATCCAAGACGCACAGAAGAACATGCGACTAGGAACGGGTAGTTGCAAGCAAGACAACTGCTGCAACAATCGGCTTGCATTGGACTAGAGCAAGTCGTGGTAAGCTTCGCAGGTTCTGTCCGATGTTTGAGATATGAAGCATACACGTATGGCTTCGAGCTAAGGATTGAATTCATGTCCGGAGTATTGGATTACGGGGATCGGGTTGGTTGGAGTTTTCTAAGTTGCACCATGCTTCGGACGTTCTGTCCTTTCGGTTGTCGGTCTTAACTTGATGTTTGTCTCAGGCACCGGCTTCTGTTGGTTTTCGTATTGATACCAGAGTTGCATAGTCGGACTGGAGAGTAGTAAACGTGGATGACATGCGCAGGCTTTAGAGTGACATCAGCTCTGCAGTTGAAGTCGGTATGGTTTTTGCTTTTGTTCCTCGAAGGGCGTTTTGAACGTTAGGCAGTATCACGGAGATTCGAAGCTGTTCACTTTTGTGGACCATAGCGAATATTGCATGGATTGTGCAGCCATGCCGCCGTGCTAGCGGCTGCTTGCGAGGAGCTTTGTAGATACAAGTGCAAGTTCGCAAAAAAAGCGTAGCATAGCTGCGACCGGTGTTTCATCGTTGTGCGAGCCCTCGCAGGCAGCATTTGCTGCTTTTGCGCAATGCTGCAGGTCAGGTCTTGGCACAATGCCCTTGTGGATACGTTCTTTGAAAATGCCTTGTTGGCAGATGATGGCCAGCGCGGCTTTGGTGCTTGGGATTCTACTTTTGGGCGTCACCCTGGCACAATTACTGCCGCACCAGTACCGTCAAACCATTTGAGTCGCAAGCTCTATGACTTGCACAAGAATCCCACACCTCGGGTATGGCACTTAGGCACATGGCAGGTTTTGTTGGTCCTGCTGTGCAGCCGATTCCTTGTTGCATCCATGGCCCCGGGCCGAGGATGCAGAAAGCAATCGGTACCGATTACAAAACAAGAACATTGCTCATGAGGACAACCCTCATGTGATCGTTCTTGTTTTGGGCGACATTGGGAGAAGTCCTCGCATGCAGCCCTGCACTCATCATGGCAAGTGCTTTCGAGATGAGTTTAAAGAGTGTGTTGGTGCCGCAGGTATCATTCGCTTTCGTTAGCCAGACATGGTGGGCCCCACATGCTTTCACTTGCGAGTTTGGTGTTCATGACAAACGAGCTGCGCAGCAGCCTGTGCAAGCACAGCTCTGCAGGCTGTGATGTGACAATCGTCGGCTACCCGGGAGTTCCAGCCTCAGTGCCAGGGCGTGTATCTAAACGACACTGACTGGGTTGCCAAGGCTGAGCCTATGGCCGCTTCGCCTGCGAGCTTCCAGGAAGTTCGAGCCGCTGCAGTGACATGCGGCCAAAGTGCCAGGAGTTAACGAACAGCCGGATACGCATTCGGCATGTGATGCCCTTGGTGGGGCGCTAAGGTTCTTCAAGTTGGTTTGAGTGCTTCCGTAGCCCACAGAAGTCTCAGGAGATTCCATGGCTTCCCTTCACACTTCGGGCTGGAGTAAAGGCCCAAGCCCTAGTAGTAGGCCCTACTAGGCTCGGTGTTTGGGGCGAAATCAAGGTGGTGAAAGGCATTGGGTTGTCGTTGCAGGTACTGTCATTGCTTCTTCGCTTGATGGCGCTGCTACTGTGCATACCTCGGAATTCAGTTGGGGCTTGTGAGCCAAGTCAGCTCCCGCCTTGCGTGTCTCATGACTTCGATATCTGCCAAGCAAGCACATTCATACAGCAGTGCTGACGACTCCTTCCCGCAATCGGCATTGTCCGAACCAGAGACACCCGGCCAACACATGTGATTTTCAATCCTGGCTGTGGCCTTGTTGAGACACAAGCTTTTTGACAGCACAGTCCTGCTTCATCGTGCTCAGCGGCTCGAGCCATGGAATCCAAACTCGCGGCATGTGCAGTCTTGTCATGATTGACGTCCGCGTACTGCATCAGCTGATTCGTGGGGTTTCGCCGTCCTAGGAGCACCCGCTTGTATCTTGTATCTCCTTCGCCTGGACAGGGTGCCGTAAGGTCGTTCTCACTGTCCGAGCTAAGGCATGGTGTCATCCATACACCGGGACTGATAAGGGTGTTACCCGTCCGGACACCTGCGTTATTTAGCAAGGCTCCTAACACAGTTGTGGCACTCTCCAACAATCTGTCCACCTGGCTTCTTGTGTGTCACGGTGTCGTCCGTTTGTGGGTTATCAAACAGACTGTTGCATCGAAGGTTTTGTGTTGATGTGAAGTAGTGGTGAGTGCATGTAACCTTGCAGCCATTGGTTTGGGTCCTTGTGGGATTTCATCATGTGGTGTCAAGTTTTCACAGTTGTCCCTGTGTACCTTCATGAAAAACCTTGTCTGCCTCGTTAAGTGTCACACAGAATTTGTAGTGAAGCACGCCATCGTGCGAGCGTGAGAGTCAAAATGTCAGCTGCTGCCAGATCCGTAGATTCTCTATTCAAGTGTGGGATTTGGGCACTTATGCGGCACTGACAGGCTTGCAACTCCGCGAGCCAATATTGTGTTAGTGCAAAATCCGCACTGGCCTCGGTCGCGTGCCAGCATGGGGACGCAGAGGCCGCCTGTACAAACAAGTGCAGGGGGATACAAGGAAAAGACTGTGGGCACATGTCTCGTGCTGAGGCCCGCCATTCCGTCGTTGCTACTGGCGCGCGTCGCGTCGACCTTGCAGGAGCTCGGGAAAGGGCCATATCAGGAGGTGATAAGTGCCATCCGCACCCATCAGTCTCCAACACTATCGACTATCGCCTAGGAAGTCTAATTGGAACACTACTGGCAATACTCGGCGGCCGCAGGTTGCACTGGCAAAACCACCACTCTTTGGAGATTTGAGATCTGCTCTCACAGGATAGTCTCTGAGGGGAAGTCTTGGTTTCAGCCTGCACTGCGTTTCTGGACAGTGTTTGGCCTGGGTAGTGCAATCAGTGATCGGGAATTCTCGGTGCTGGGCTGAGATCTTTCGCACACCCCAACTTTCGGGACTGTCGATAACGTCCTCAACTATGGTGTGCTATGCTAGTCTGTTTCGGTCCCCACTGACTGGTCTTGCCGGGGACGAACAACAAAGATTTCCGGTCCCTGGTTTTCTCCCTTCCTCTGTCTGTCTCGCTCCCTCTCTGTCTGTGCTCACCGTCAGTCCTTGCCTTGTCTTGCCTTCGTGCTTTTGTCGTTCATCCTTATTGTGATCGGTGCTTTGTCCTCGTGCTTTGCCGCTGCCTCTCATATTGCTGTATCCCTCCCTCCTTTGCTTTGGAATTGTGTTTTGTCATGACATGAACCAAGCAAGTTGTCTGCCTTGGCATGTTGGACGATCTTGTGGCCTTCCTTCCCATGCAGTAAGCCTGTGACGTGGTTAATGTTAGCGATTGTCTGGTTGGGCACGTTGTCAGTTGCAGCGTCTCGTTTGCTTTGATGATCTCTCATCAACGTCCTTTTCCTAGCTGCAGGGGGCCTCCTTCATCATTGACTTCCACAACTTTGGCTATTCGCTACTGGCACTGAAGACATGCCGGCCATTTTCGGCTTCTTGCATCATGCAATCCGTTTGGGAGCCTCGGTTCAACCTGGGCCAGGTTGGGAGCCCAACATCCGCTTGTCAAGGACTTTGCCTGAGCCGTCATGCTTGCCAAGATTAGGCCACCTGCTCTCAGTGGCACAAGCTTGGGTATGTTTTGAACAGGCTCATCGGATATACGAACAGCTCTGCGGTCAGCTTGCGGATGATGCCTTCTGTGTTACAGCACAGCAGGGGCCTTAACTTACAGCAGCAACTTCATGAAGCAACGTTTGACGCCAGAATATGGGAGGATGCAACGATTCTTAAAGGAGCAGTGGAATGCTGGGGGCCCAGCCTCGCTGGAGTTTGGAGGGCCGAAGCCGTGATCGGACAGGTCGATGCTCGACCGTTGCATGATCGACCTGCAAGCATCTTCAGGTTCATGCGCGTGCCTCGCGCACGAAAATTGCTCGAACGGCTTGTGTGCTGAGGCCAAGCGGCATTGAGGAACAACACAATCTCTTTCAGCGTTTGCGAGACAGGGGCATGTTGGGGACGTTCTGACCTGAGATGGCCCGTGCACTTGCGCAAGCTTGCATTGCAGCAACAGCATTCTGGAGGGTGGACGACTGGTGGCCGGATGCTGAAGGCAGCAACAGTCCAGGTGAAGTTGGTTCAATTGTGGAGCAGTCATTGGGACCGCAGGTGAAACGTTGTTCACTCGGTGGAGCAAGTCTGAGGGATACAGCACGGTGCTCGGATCGGCGAAGTGCAGGTCAACAACACGGTTGAGCATTTTATATGAGAACATGAGGGAAAAATTCACATCTTCACATCACACGGAGTTTGGATGAAAAGGCAAATCCCCCAGGCGACCATCTCTCGTTGTCAGCCTAGGCCTTACAGCATGGTGTTGACCACACTACCTTGTGCTGCTTATGGGGGTCCCATCCATTCAGGCTCGACCTCTTGGACTCCGGATGAAGATTTTGGGCAGCTCCTCGACGCTGCTGGCCTACATAATGACAGACATTCAGAAGATCAGGGGCTTGGGAAGCTGACTGATTGACTGTGCTGTCCAGGCGCTGCCGGCGTTCAACGAGAACCTGGTCCAGGCAGAGCCCAGAAGCATAAACACATACCTGTACTGCCTGCCTGCCTGCCTACCTAGCTGCATACCTACCTGCCTGCACAAATGCATATTGCGACTCGCCGATGGCAGCTACTGATATATATATATATATATATTTATGCTGCCCCCGCTCCGGTACCCAGGTTTTCGTCTTTATGCTGATGCTTTGCTTAAGTGGGCCGAGGGAAAGGGCATTTCGCAAACACGAGTCAGCCATGAATTATGGATGTTGTGTCAAAAGTCTGTGCCGACAGCAACCTTTATGTTTGCTTGAACATCATGAGCAAGCACGAAAAAAGGAGCAGAAAAGGTTGCAAGGAGCCGCGCACGAAAAAAGAAGCAAGGAATGGCTTAGGACAAATTGTTTCGTGAACGATGCCGGTGGTCGCGAGGAGCCGACATACAGTAGTGATCGAGTGGGGGTATGGCGAAGCAGGCCTACTGAACCCCGCGAAAACGAATGGCTTTGCACGGCATGGGGTTTTAACCACCCACGCAGATTTACTATTAAGGTGGATGGTGACTATGTTTAGCTGGCTGCCGTCAAGGTTTCAAGACACACACGTTCATTGAACGTCCACTTGTTGATACACAGCAATGTCAGTGTTGTTGGTAGGTTTTGCAGTCTGGTGCACGAACTAATCAGTGAGTTCATTGCTTGATGTAATCATATACCGGATAAGCCATAGTGTGAGATAGTGCCATTATACTTGTTAAAGTCTTTAGTCTTCGCAACACCGCACAATGATTCATGCGTATCTGTCAAATTAGTTGTCAATAGCAACATTTGTAGCAGTTCGTGACCCGCTATGATACGTGTAGGTTCAGGTATTTATTCTACTGGAAGTATAGTCTTCATTGCCTTAGGAATCCGATCTCCGTTTTCTCTCAGCCATGTCGAAACTCTTACATAATCTGTTCTTCGGCAAAAAATATCGAGTTCAAACAAATCAAACGTGGCTTTAGTATTACGTCTAGCAATGTTGTTCTCGCATGTTTTAACCGTTACCGTAGATCCTGTTACAAAATTTTCCATGATTTTCCATAGACAAATCATGGAAAATGTTGGGTTTACCAACATTTCCAACAATTTCCATAAGTTTTGAAAAACTCGGGAGCAAAAACCTTAGCAAACCCTGAATTCAGAAACATCCAGTAAACCCTAAACTATAGTCGAGGGCACGATGTCAGTCTCCAGCTGAATGCCTGCAATGTAAGAGGGCTGTGTGGTTGATTATCCTGTGTCGGATGAGTCATTGTGTTGCAGATGGTTGAGTTCTGCATAGTCGCAGGCATCTAGCCAACTTGTTTTCACGCCGACCTGAGCGCCCATGGATCCTCGCCTGGCTTGTCCGAGTTGTGAGAGTGTAAACTTAGAAGCCTTGGGAGCCAGAAGTATCGAAAAGACGCAACGACAGAGGGACACGAACACATATCACGGACAAGGCGGCTGACTTGAACAGGAGACAACCTGGGTACCGGGGGGAGGGGGTACCATAAATATATATATATATATACATACACAGAGAGATACATACATACATACATACAGACATGCATACATACGTATATTTACATACAGACATACATGCAGACATACATACATACATACATACATACATACATACATACATACACACATACCAGTACATACATACGTACGTACACGTACACACACAAACCTACATAGTACATACATATATTGACATCGCCACCACTTGATCGTGTCGGATTTGTGTGGGCTGTGGGGCGGCCTTCGGCAAAGCAGACCAAGCACCCTCCCACAACTTCAGGAGGGAGGCTGCCCTGAAGAGGCCCAGGAAGACTCGGCCGCTTGCTGGCCCCATTTCTTTCGCCGCCCTCCCATCTGGTTGGGAGGATTGGACCGCTTGTTCAGCGGGAGCATGCTTCGTTTTCTGCAGGGTGGACCAATCTGTTCTGGCGAGCTCAGATGGGGAGTTGGCGGAACCCATCCCGTCAACATGATGCCGCGGAGTTTCTTCAGTACATGCTTGGTAGAATGCCGTTCCAGGGAGCCTGGGGATGAGGGTTGGCGACGTACAGGCAGTGGGCAATCAGCCCCTTGGTTGCTGCAGCCCCCGACGCCCAAGCTGGACGTTTACTTTTGATTATTTTTTGACACTGATGATGCTGTCAAGCGCCACTATAGACTGCTCCCTGACGGACTGGATGTTCACACTGTGACATACCAGCTTTGCTCAGTGATTTTACATAGGGGAACGACTCCGAACAGGGGACATTAATTCAACCTGCTGTATGATGTTCGTGATGGTATATAGCTACAGACTGGCGGATGATGGTGTTTCGCTGCCTTTGATTGATAACATCGCTTTTATATTTTGTGTTGCGTTCGATGCCGCTGACTTTAGCTGCGGCCGGGTCATCAGACCTGTCCTCCGCAACGTTCGCACAAACGACCTCTTTTGCAACAAGGAACGTGAAAGTAGGCAGGTCGGCAGGTAGGCAGGTAGGATGTGGTATGTATGTCGGTGGTACAATGCGAGTTCTGCCCAGTGCTCTGAATGTTATCTTGAATGAAATTGTTCGTGTGCACACTTAGCAGATGTCGGTGGATGTCAAGCCGTCGAAGTTCCGTGATTGCAACATCGTGCGATCGCAGGCAAATGCGCGAGCTGTTGTGATCGTGACCGGCAAAGGCGACTTGAGGCAGCAGTTTGAGGCCACCGTCACCCAGTCGTCACGGTCCACGGTACAGCGACTACGTCGTGAACTGATGGTCTTCCATCACTGCCACACAGCTTCCGCTCCAGGAGCGCTTGTGCGGAATGGTGCCGCGGCCCCAGACTGGCACAGTTCTTTCCTTAATGCATCGGAGAATGCCGTGGTCTTGCAGGCCACAGTTGCAAGCAGTCCGCGTGGTGACGATGTGGCGCCGGCACTCAGGTTCGAGCTTTTGCGATTTTGCAAGCCGGACTTGCGAGGCTTAGCTTTGCAGATTATGCTCTGCTGCTGGGTAGCGCAGACCTGGGTCTCAGCACGGGGCTCGGAGCTGAAAAAGGAGTTGAGCCAAGGTCCGGCCGGCCTCTCTTTGCCCTTGGGCCTCGAACTGCTACAGGGATGTTCGGATCGGGCTGATTGCACAGTGCTTTTCCTGCATTCTGGACTAAGCAGCCAGGCAGCAGTTGCTCCGCTCTCGCACAGGATGAGCAATGCTCCAAGGTTTGAGAGACCACTTCAAGGTGAAACACGGGCAAGTGCGGTAGAAACAGCCTCGAGGAAATAGCTGCTATCGAACACCGGGATCCCTGAAGGATGGTTTTCGGTAGCTCCCTGGATGCTGACGTGAGCAAGCTAAAGCATCTGCACCATAAACTGACAATCCGACTACAATATCCGCCTCTGTCCATGTCCATACGGATTGATTTTGGAACCGTTCCGAAACGAAAAGACAACATGTCAGTGTTGTCTTGAAGATCGTTTGCTACCGTGCTGCATCCCAGTGTCGTAGCACCTGGGCAGAGTATACAGTTCACAAGCAGGAGCAGCCCTCTCAACAGGTTTGCACAGCTCCTCTTCAGGCATTGACTTGCCCATGAAGGCCACGTCTTGTGTACATTGAGGCACTCGTCCCAATCGTGCGGTGGAGGTCGTGGACATGTTTGGGGCCGGTTTGCCCGTGTGCGCACGGTCCTTTGCAGCACTGCCTGAGCAGCGGCCTGATGGATGGGATTTTGACTGTCGTGTGGTTTGTGCAATCCGTGCAATGCCAGGCTTGTCCAGCATGGCGAGAATGGATTGGTGTTCAGTAGCACTGAGGACCTGACTCATGTTCTGTAATCGGGAAGCGCAGCTTGGCGCGCAGCCCGTCTTGAAGGAGCTTGCGGTGAGTCTGGCGCATGGGCTCGGGGTGAGCGCAGCTTGGAGCCGAGCTGTTGTTTATGACGGCCATTGGTCAACCACGGCTTCTTTACTGGAGGCTGCATCGACCGATTTGCCTTCATTGAAATCTCCGGCAGGAAAGCTTGTGCCTTAGTTTCTTTTTGCTTCACGCAGCCCCAAGCTATTGTCGCAGTTGGATGTAGGCTCGTCCACCGGTGCAGAAGCTTTTGTTTTTTCTCTGTTCTTCGTGCGGTGAAGTATACAGTCATGCGGGAACTTAAGTCCGGCTGCCTTGTCTTCTGGAAGCTTTGGACACTTGCGGTGCCTTCGATTGTAATGCGTAAGCTGCAGCCCAGAAGAATCGAGAAGCTGTCCCGTGAAGATCCTGCTAGCTTAAGCTTCTCGTTTTCGAAAAGAGTTTGAGCCAGGGACAAGTGATGGGGAAACATGGGGCTGCCTGTTGGAAACCATGAGCATGGACGGCGATGTGCTGACAGAGGTCCAAGCTGAATGCTTGGGATGACAACTGGGATGGGCACTGAGTATGGCGCATTGCATTGATTTGGCGGACAGGCTTTTCAGTCAGCAGAGCAGCAAATGTGTGCAGACACCTGATGGAAACAAGGATGCGATTGCCTGGCCTGTCTTCCATGCTTATGCGTTGCGTGCTTAACCACGGCAGACAGCAGGCTGAGAGGTGTCAATTCCATCCTGTGCAGGTCAGGATCAACTCCCAAGAAGATCAACTGAGATGCGCAACAAAGTTCTCAGCTTTGGTGTTTGCAGCAGGCTTTTCACACACCATCCACTTAGTGTCTGTTGTGTCGTGCCGAAAGCATGCTTCAGCCGTACTTACTGCATGCCTGCTTTTCCATGCTGTGTGCACATGAGTCACGAGGCCATCATCTGAGCCACAAGCCACTAAAGCTTGCCGCCCAAACATTGCAGAACCGCGTCTGGCTCGAAGCGCTGGATGCATGGATCCAGGTTGCCGGGCAGGACCCGGGCTTCGCCGTCAGATGGACCCACTGGCAAGCACGATTTGCAAGCGAGGACTCCGATTTCTCCTGCAGACCCTGCATGGCACCGCCATCAGCAGGGAAGCAAGGCCATGCACAGTGCTTCCATGCTCCCTGACATTCTCTGACTGCTTGCCGCAGTCTAGAATGCAGGGTGCAGTTCCCAACACGATGTCGTCTTGAAAATCACGCAGCTAGCAGCTATTGCAAGACATTAAGAAAATGCAACAAATACTTGCTTTGTTTGTCATTGCTTTTTCACGACTCGGCTCGCTGTTGAGGGGTCCCGGGCCATTGTGAGCATAGAGATTACTTGGGCAGTACTGGTCCTGCACTGTACTAGAATCTGAAGCTCCGCAATTCTGTGGTCCTGGAGGCTTCTGTGTTTATCCATGGCAAAGGAAGCACCTCCCGACCCAGGTTTGAAATCGGTAGTGGTGGGGGTTATTGCGAAAGATCTGGGCGTGCGGCACTCCATATGGATCCATTCTTGATTGTGTAGCCTGGCCGTGGATTCTGAAACGCTTGAATTCTTCGACTTCGGGCTGGTTTTCTTCGTCTTGGAGTGTGTGTTGTTTGTTGTTTCGAGGTCTTGGGGTTCTTACCCCTGCAAGTACTGGACCTTGGTACATGCAAACTGACATGCTTTGTTGTGGCTCAACTCACGGCCCTACGCAGGTTCGGACGTTGCGAGGCAAGGGGACAAGCCGCACACGATCTTGGAAACGATCGAATTGAGTGATGCTTCTCCCTCGCATTATGTGCCAGCAGCGCAGAAGCTTCACATTTGTGCCTTGTTCGCGTCCTGTCTGACGTTTCGGTGGCCGCCGAGCTGCAAGGAGAGCGATGACGAGTTCAATTACGAGGCGTATTTTTGCACCGAAGAAGTCCAAAGTACCAGATACTCGTACAGCTAAGTGCACCAAGACCAGGATTTGCTTAGGCATGCTTCGGCTGTCGGTGATCCTTGCATTTGTGACGAAATCGTGTCTTTAGATGTATCTCCGATGACTGGCACAGCGCCTTTGCCCGGCTGTGCTGGAGCTTGCCTTGCGCAAACCATGAACGGCAATGTTGTGATGCAGGAACTCCCTGAGGATCCAGAACTTCTTGAGCAGGACGACGAGGCAACTGACAGACCTGGGGCAAAAAAAGCATGCAGCCAGAACTCATGCAATCCTGCACAGGAACAACTCGATGACATCAATCGTTTGTTGGCAGAGACCAAACAGCCAGCCGATGGCCAGGAGCCTCTGAGCAAGTGGAGCGAGTCTGCGGTTTTGTTAGCAAAGCTCATGAGGGCTGTTTTCAAGCCACCAGTGGTCGAAGGATGCAGCCGAAGAAGCTGGACTAGCCAAGGCAGGGGTGTCTTGGAGCTGTTGGGAGCCCATGCCAAGCCTGTGGGCGAGCTGACACTTACACTCCCTTAGTCATGTACGGTGTGATGTGGCTCAGTGTTGGACGGACATATCAAACGTGGGTGGGGGTTTCTTTTCTCTTTTTTTGTATTTTTTCGGTTTCGGTTCAGTGGGTACGTGAGTCCATATATAAGTCGGTCAGTCAGTCAGTCGGTGGGAGAACGGGGCCGTCAGTCGTCAGTCAGCCATTCGGTCGTCCAGAGAAGAGCGGTGAGGTCAGTCAGTCAGTCAGCCAACCGAGCGGTCAGTCAGTCAGTTAGTCAGTCGGTCGGTGAGACAACGTGGCGGTCAGTCAGTCACAGTCGGTCGTCCAAAGAAGAGCTGTCAGTCCGTCAGTCAGTCGGTCAGCCAACCGAGCGGTCAGTCAGTCAGTCTCTGCCAAACGAGCTGTCAGTCAGTCCATCGGTCGTCCAGAGGGTGCGGTGAGTCAGTCAGTCGGTCAGTCAGGCCAAATAAGGGGGCGGCGTGTTTAACAAAAGTCGTGACCGGACTCGCCACATGAGTACGCGTGTCTAAGACATGTGGTGAGCCAGAATCGCCAAATGAGGGGTATGTTCAGCAGGTATGACGAACCGGAAGCGCCAAATGAGGGGTTGCATTTACGATATATGATGAACCGTTGTCGCGGAATGGGGGGTGGGGGCGTGTTCAGAATATACGATGAACCGGAGTCGCCAAATGCTGGGGGTATGTTCAAGATGTAGAGTGAACCGGACTCACCAAATGAGGGGGCGGCGTGGTTAAAATATATGGCGAGCCGCAAACGCCGCATGAGGGGGCGTGTTTAAGACCGGAACCGCCAAATGAGGGGTGCGTTTAACATGTATGATGAACCGGGTTCGCCAAACGAGGGGGCATGTTTAAAATATAGGATAAACCGGAGTCGCCAATTGAGGGGGGCATGTCATGCTTGACATGTATGAGTAGCCGGAACTGCCAAAAGAGGGGGGCGTGTCTAAAATATGCGCTGAACCGGAATTGCCAAATGAGGGGGCGTGTCTAAGATATTTGATGAACCGTTATCGCCCCATGAGGACGCGTGTCTAAGATATCATTATGCATGTTTAAGATATAGGATAAACTGGAATCGCCAAATGAGGGGGCGCGTTTGACATGTATGAGGAGCCGGAATCACCAACAGAGGGGGGCGTGTTTAAGATATATGGTGAACCGGAGTCGCCAAATCAGGGGGCGTGTTTAAGAGTTTAAGATATACGATGAACCGGAGTCGCCAGATGAGGGGGCATGTTTAGGATTTATGATGTAACGGCGTCACAAAATAAGGGGGCGCCGTGACTAAGATATATGAGCAATGAGGAACTGTTGTCGCTTACTGTGCAGTTTAAGATATAGGATGAACCGAAATCGCTAAAATGAGGGAGCGTGTTTAACATATATTGATGATGAACCGTTATCGCTAAATGAGGGGGCGTATTTAAGATACATGATGAACCGTTATCGCCGAATGAGGGGGCGTGTTCAAGATATGCGATGAACCGGAATCACCAATACGGGGGCGGCATGCGTAAGATACGTAGTGAACCGGACTCGCCATGTGAGGGCACGTGTCTAAGATATTATTAAGGTCAGCCGGAATGGGGTAATTTTATGTAATTTTAAGATATAGGATAAACTGGAATCGCCGAATGAGGGGGCGTGTTTAACATGTATGAGGAGCCGGAATCGCCAAAAGAGGGGGGGCGTGTTTAAAGTATATGGTGAACCGGAATCGCCAAGTGAGGGGGCGTGTTTAAGATATACGATGAACCGGTGTCGCCAGATGAGGGGGCATGTTTAGGATTTATGATGTAACGGCGTCACAAAATAAGGGGGCGCCGTGACTAAGATATATGAGGAACTGTTGTCGCTTACCGTGCAGTTTAAGATATAGGATGAACCGAAATCGCTAAAATGAGGGAGCGTGTTTAACATATATTGATGATGAACCGTTATCGCTAAATGAGGGGGCGTGTTTAAGATATGTGATGAACCGTTATCGTCAAACGAGGGGGCGTGTTCAAGATATGCGATGTACCGGAAACAAAATAAAGCGGCGGCGTGCGTGAGATATGTGGTGAACTGGACTCGCCGCATGAGGGGGGCACGTGTCTACGATATTATAATTATGGTGAGCCGGAATCGCC